ATATGTTCCAAACAATGTGTTCTATTAAAATATTAATATTATTTTGTTTATTTTTGCCAATACTAAATATAGAAACCGACCCTTGTACCAAAATAATTCCTAGAAGAAATTTCTTGTTAGCAACAAGTACAGCATTTTACGTGTGCACATTGTTCTGTTGTCAGAGATCTTAAAGATAATAACGATGACGAAAGTGAGGATGAAAAGGAAAGTGATGATAAAGGTTCACAGTTATTCAGTGACAGTGAATTGTCTTTGGGAGATGAACCATTAATGGAGATACAAGTGAGTTTAGATAGCTTGTTTAATTAATACTTTGAATAATAATTATTTGAGATGTTTATCTCTTAAATGGAGCAAGACTTCACAGACTATTTGACATTTAAACAACTAGTCTGAGTTTTTATGAGCAAGTAGTCAACCTAGTATAGCCAAGTTGACTGTCGCTAGGAAACAAGGGCAAGTAAACTATTGACAATTATATTTATTGTGTTAATAGACACTGTAAAGAGCCTCAAGGAAACTTAAATATTTTCTCCTTTTAAGTGCAACACATATGTGATTGTGTTCCATCAGTGAGTACTTGTAGGTAACAATGATGAGAGAACCAATCAGATTTTTGTGGATTTCCAGTAGAACATGCTATATGTCTACTTATTAGTGGTAGTATACGCAGTGCAATGTTTCTGATATTCTAGAAAATTTTGAGTTGATTATAAAAATTGTGTGATGGGAACTGAACAATTTGCAAAATCAGGGATTCTCTTATCTACTCATGGCAATGTTTTGTTGGTGTCCTTTTAGAGATGGTACATTTTGTAAGGTTTGTACCACAGGTAACCCAAGTGCAGTGTAAGAGTTTGTACGGNCTGCACCCCAGCTCTGCCCAAAGCAGCAGAAACCTTTGGGGCCTATCCCAAAACAGTATCAGTTGTTAAATCCATTTGAGAAACTAACAATGCATCGACTACAGTCATAAATTGGAAGAGACTGATGGCTCATGAATGCCAGTGCATATCTCCAGATGACTAGGATTGTTACTACCACCCTGGAGTAGGATTGTAGTCTTGTAGGTATTGTTTCAACAAGTTACCTTTTAACTTACCAATGTTTCACTCCTGGGCCGGGAGATTAAAAGTTCCTTGCCAAAGAAATACCACCCATAAGGCCTCCTCCAGGTATCCCCTATGTAATGTAGTTTAATTCATGTGTATGTGTCTTCATTTGTTCAGATTTTGAGCCAGCTCAATCATCAGTGAAATTTTCAGACATTGGAGGTTGTGACAATACTGTGGAACAAGTATGTAAACTGCTGGTTCACATGAGGCACCCAGAAGTGTTCCGCACCCTTGGGGTGACCCCACCCAGAGGGTTCCTCCTTCATGGTCCTCCTGGCTGTGGCAAGACCTTGTTAGCTCATGCTGTTGCTGGGGTAGGTTCACACTGCATTTCTAGATATGCTTACAAGTTGAGTTTTATGTACTCAGAGTTGAAACAGACATATTTCCTTTTGTGTTCAGTTCTTTTCACATTTGATTAGGAAACATCAGAGGTTCATGGTAAAAAAATGCAGCTCTGATTATCCAGCTCTACAAAGATCTTTATAGTGTCTCTAATTGATTACTACTCAGTTCTGAACTTTTTAATAAAAGTAACAATCAATAGAAGAGACTAAATGGATTTTTCAACAGTAAGCTACAATTAATCACCAGGATGAGTTTTTACGGAAAATGTTTGTTTAAATATCCATTTTCTGTGGAATCACTTTGTCATTAATAGTCTTGTATACGTAGGTACAAACCTCTTCTAGCTGACACCCCCCCGCCCCCAATAATGTGGCACTAACAAATAGTTTTGACCACATAAAATTATATATTAATCACTGACTCCTTGTATGTAAGTAGGCACTTTTCTGGCTGTAAAATTGTCTGTCTATCAGACATTTGACTGTACTCATCTTACCTTTCATTTGCATTCAGTTCATTTGAATCTTGTGTTGTTATGTCGATGAGCAAAATACATAATCCGGAAATAATCTTACTACAAATAATAAAAGATTTAAAAGTATTGTAATGAAAAAGGATTAAAACAAGCAATTTGAATCATTGAGTCAGTTTTTATAGCAACACAGTGCAGTGCCAGTTACGCATTACGCATTGAACTGTTTGTCACTAGGAGTTGGAAATGCCGTTCATAAAACTTGCAGCCACGGAGATTGTTTCAGGAGTGTCTGGAGAATCAGAACAGAAAGTCAGAGAGCTGTTTTCACGAGCTGTGGTAAGGAAGCAATCAGAGATAAATACTGGGCTGCATGATACCTCCTTGTTATAGATAGCAGTTTTGGTTCCTGTCTTCTAAAGGCACATATATTTGCTAATACAGTCAGCTCTTTAATGTGGACTGTCCTAGTTCTAGAATGACAAGATACTGTCATTTTAAAAGCCAGTTTTAGCTAGAAAATGTTTTTGACTATGACAGAGACATGTTACTTCAATGCCAGGACTTCACATGCATCATAATATGCCAATAGCACCCATAACAACCTGCTCAAATCTAAGCCTTTTGAACAAAGATCACGCTAGAATTTTGAGAACTCATGAAAGGGAGATTATTTTAAGTAACAGACAGACAGACAGACAGACATACAGACTGAACGACCGACTGACCGACCGACAACCTTTATTCAAGCATGATAAAAATTAAAGCTCAGTAGCTTATGGCAGCATGCCCCGGGGAGGGGGTTACTTTGGGAATTTCTGGGTGGGGATGTGCCGTTGGGACCCTAGAACCCTTAGCCTATACAAGAGCTAGTTCAGCCATACCCTTCACAGCGGCAGATACCTATATAGCCCATATATGGCAGTGTTCCCCCCGGGCATCATGCATGATAAAATTAAAATTAAATTAAACTTCGTACAAAGTATGTGTATGATAGGTACAATATCTAAGTAAAGTAATTGTAAGTACATACAGTTAGTGCTGTATGAATTGTGGTAGAAATTAAGCAAGGAGATCTAAGTTTGTGAAGTAACTGGCAGTCAAATTTACTATAGGACTGTTTATTTCTCCTTCAGGCCAATTCTCCATGTGTGTTATTCCTTGATGAAATAGATTCCATCACACCAAAGAGAGAAACAGCTTCCAAAGACATGGAAAGAAGAATTGTCTCACAGCTTCTTACTTGCATGGATGGTTGGTGTAATAATTACTATTTCAATCAATAACTAGAAAAACAAATTGTATGTTTAAAATGCAGGAGAGGATATAAAGGAAACTTCAAGGCAAAAATATGCAATTCCAGTTTGGAGACAAAATCGCCTTGCTTGTAATAATTTAACTATGATTTTCTAACTGACCAGAAAGTTAAAAACAAGTGAACCTTCACAGCCTCTCTTGGAAGGGCTAAATGTAAAAGGATTTGTTTGAATTTTTTTTAATCTAGACAGCATTAACTTATAAATCATTTAACATTTAGTCAATTTTAGAAATAATTAGGGTTTTTTTTTGATTTCTTGAAATAGGAGCTAAAGAGTACAGGGACTCTAAATAGAAACGGCACAATTTGGTTTATATGGAACTTTATAATTCTGCAAGACAGCGATGGGATGTTATGCCGACAAAATTCTTGTACTTTTGGTGCAGCTCTTCACTGTTTGTATTCTTTGCCTTTTAGACTTGAACAGCAATCCAGATGCTCATGTGTTGGTTATAGGGGCAACTAACAGACCTGACTCACTGGACCCTGCTCTGCGACGTGCTGGTCGGTTTGACAGGGAAATCTCAATGGGTATACCCGATGAAAAAGCCAGAGAAAGGTTAGGGAACTTGAGTGTTTCTCATTCCTAAAACATAATGTTAAAACGAAAAGCAGCTTGTAAGAAAGAGTCATCCAGTCTCGGCTAGTGAGTTTAGTGTAAAATTACTGACACTGACACTGAAATACCAGTATTCATTGTTTAGAATTTGTTTTAGTCAACTAAATTGTTAAAGATTAAGTGCTCTTCGGTTGGTGAGGGCTTTGGACAACAATTCAAGAGATCATGCTTCAGGCCTTGTTTCTATTTTCTAAGTTGCGAAGACAGCAAATTTTTGCCGTACCTTCTATACTTTCAAGCATAGTGGGTACTAGCTAATAATTTTTAAGGGCAATCTAGCAAAATACCATTGGCAGCAATAGTTCTTTTTGATTAAAATTAATAGTATGGAAGTTAACTTCTATCCTGTTCAACCAGTTAGCTCCTAAAAGCTCAACTAAATATCACAAGTGAATTAATCATTAGAAAAATCAAATGCTTATGATAAATAGGTTTTATGTTTCTTTTTTTGTATTCTTCTGCAGGATTTTGAGAGTTCTGAGTCAGAAGTTAAGACTTGAAGAAGACTTCAGTTTTGCCTTATTGGCTCGACTCACCCCTGGGTTTGTTGGTGCAGATCTCATGTCACTGACAAGAGAAGCAGCTTTGATTGCAGTGAACAGGTACAATACTTCAACAATACTTCCATTAGACTATTTGCAGTGAGTATTTTCTCTGAGGATCTAAGGATCAGCTATTTCTGTAAACACAAATGTAGAAAGGCAGTATGGATGCAAAGGGTTTGGTTCTTGTGGATGTGGCACATGCATCTTGCTCCAATCCCTTCTTGTCCCAAACCCCTGCCCTTTTCTCCTTTGGTGATTGTGAGAGGAAAACAGACTGTACACTCCCCGGGGGGGTACTCCCATATAAAAAGGATGGGGGTACTTGTCGTTCCTTTTATGGGCTAAAAAAGTAGTATCTCTTACGGTGTTCAGCCTCAAAAGGTCCACAGCGGGGGCTTTTGCAGTAAAAACTTTTTAGGGTATTAAGCTGGAGAAATATACAGGAAATAGTGTTTTGTTTTAGAATTGGTACCACTTAGGGGTGAAAAAAGCTATGCCCACAAAACAGGATCTCGTTACCTCTTAGGGGTTCTTTAATTTGCGATGAGCACCCCATCCTTTTCATTTGGGAGTTCCCCCC